CTTATCGTATTGTACTGTAAATTGCATTGTATGTATTGTATATGCATTGTATTGCCTCGTAAATTGCATTGTATTATATTTCTCCACAACTTCAGAAAAATGCCTTAAAGGAAAAATGTGCTAAGGTATTTTATGCTGCTATACCTGCACATAACTTGCGAATGTTTTGATTCGTTCTGATGCAACATTTAGCCATGTGATATTTAAAATGGCTAATGAATAAAAATTGTCTCGTTGACCTACTTTCCATTCAGTTCCGTTTAATAGTTCTGTAATAAAATTACAAATAAAACATGTTCAACTAGATAGCCAAACGATGAATATTTCCGAGTGGATTATATATTTTAGTATATTATACAATTTTTATCTTTCCCGTAAATTGCATTGAATAATAGATTTGTGTGCATTTTTAGTACACAGTAAGCGTCCACGAGCTAGGTGATAAGATGGCATTGTACAGGTCGGGGAAATGGTGAGACTGCGCAATTGGTTGCGCTAATAAAAATGTTTATAAAAAACTAACAAGCCAATTAACCATGATAAAAAGTACGGGAAACGATTGAAAATGAAAAGTGGAATGACAGTTAAAGATAGCTATACCGACACAATGGCGAGCGTATATGATATATGGGAAAAATGTCGAGAATTTTTGAAATAAAAGAATGCTCGAGTCAGGGCCGGGTCTGCAGCGCCATCTATTTTAATGTTTTTATCAACGGTCTTATTGAAGACCTATGTAACTCAGGTGTCGGCGTAACTATCGATTCGGTGATACTCTAACCCCATGCATTTTAGTGGCGGATGATACGACTCTTTTGGCGTCTTCCCCTGCTGACCTACAGATCCTACTAAACATTGTATATGAATATAGCAGTAAGTGGAGATTACTGTACCATGCTGGGGAAGACGGCAAAAGCGCAGTGGTCCGACATTCAATGAGACATCAAAAGCAAGAAATCAAGTGTGTTACTTCTTAGGCAGTGATACTATTCCTAACGCAAATACTCAACAATACGTTGGTAACGCTTTGAGAAGAGATTTTAAATGCAAAGACATACCGGTAGTTAATGCATGCAAAAAAGCCAAAAATTCGTATTACTCGATTGCTAATGTCCGCATTGTAGAGGATACAAATCCTCTTACTTCATTAAAAATCTGGATCAACATAATATTACCTCGTCCTGCCATAATATTTGGATGTGAGCTTTGGTCAAACCTCACCAAAAAAGACATTTATTTGCTAGAACTTACACAATGTCAAGTAACAAAAGCAATTCAACGTTTTGCCATGATATTTCCGTCTGATGTAGCTTCATCGACCCTTGGATTATGGACAATATCTGCTAGGATCGATAAGGCTAAATTGGGGGTTTTCAACAGAATATGTGGATGCAAACATTTTATTACGAAAAAAGTCTTCATTTTAAGATTGGCAAGTTATTTGTCGAACAGAGAAACATTTAAACAGAAAGGGTTCATCAATGATCTATACAATCTGGCTGAAAAATATGAATATATACCAGATCAAATTCAACAATTCATCTGTAATGGCAAATATGTGATTAAGGAGAAGTGGAGACTGCTTACTAAATCACAAATTCATATTAATGAGGAGAAAAAATGGCAAGAAAGCTGCCAGCAGAATGTCTCTTTGTAATATTTTCGTAACGTCCATACAAAACCTAAGCCCAAGCATAATGTGGGAATTGGGTAGACAATTCCCAAAATGCACTTGGAACTTAGGCAATCTCATTCATTTATCATTACCTAATGTATATGAAAAGAAGTGTAAAATGTGTGACATCATTATTGCAAAAATAGCAGAATTATCTATGAGAGAGACGAACTTTTTAATTTACTAGTCTCAATTTTAGACATAGATACTGGTGTCAGGCTGTTTTCTGCTGACACACATGTTTTTTTATTGATGCCATACTAGGAAGTCAAGCAGAATGTCTCCAACAATTGGATGATAACACATTTTGTAATTTTTTACTAACAATTGCAAATAAGCTGCAATTTGTGCAGCACTATTTCGTGTAAATACTATTCTTACATTTCATGATTATTCTCTATTGTATACTCGTAAAGTAACTGTATTGTAATTATTATGTTTGATGCTCCGATTAATTTTCGGGAATAAAAGAAACAATAAACAATATACTGAACCCTGGACTTGGCAATGGTATGTATGTAAGTAAAGATGATACAGATCTTTGGATCTGTGAAGGATATTCCTTCTTCGGGAAGCTTTCACACCAAACGACCTCGTTTGAGAAAATAATGATAATGAACTTTGACATATTTATTAATTTGTTTACAACATGTTCATAAATCTATATAGCGCTGAGGTTTTTATTAGGGCATCACTTTGATAATAACATTTATAGGCATGGCGCACTGGGCATAAATATCATTGACGTCGTTATACGATTCGTCTACTTAATAATTAGATCCGGATAGTTAAGAAACATAATAATTACAATTAGTGTCATACAATAGTGATTATTATTACAATCGTTATTTTAGTTGCATGTAAGACAGTTACATCTGTTTATTCGTTGCCGATTACATGCTTCTTTTTCCACTGCCGCGCATGAGTAAACATATGATCATGATTTATGGTATTCTGGCGTTCGGCTCTAACTTCATCGATATCATTTCTAAAAAAGATGGTCACTTTTCTAATTTGAATTATTTTACGGTCAAGTTGTTTAAAGTATTTGGTAGGATGGATTGATATAGATGAATATTAAATTAGTTGCTCCTTTGTTCTACATTATAAGTGCCCAACCCAATATAGTTCAATTATCAAAATGCAATTATGCTTGTCCTTGACCACCACGTGTATTTTGATTGAAATTCGTATTTGTCATCTGCATATCAGTTATCCCAAAAGGTGAACCGCTTTTTGTCGAGAATCCCAATTTTTTAGGGTTTTAGGGTATTAACATCAGATTTGCAAAATACAAGCTATAGACGATCTGTCACAGCCTTGTCTCGAATTCGCACCATCATTTGCCGAACATACGGCACCAACCCGTAATTTTGAAATATGTCCGTATAATTTCAATCTAACCGAAAATTAATTACAGTATATTGTAGATTTGAATATTATAACAAAGAAAACCTTATTGATCATAATGATAAAATCGCTTGATTTACAGTACTAAAGAAAAGTCAGTGTTTGTCATGGCTGAGACTAACTTTTTTTAGTCTCAGGTCATGGCAACCGTTTTTAAATCAAACAAAGAAAAAGCACAAATGTTCATAGAATTAATTCAAATTTAGATAGAGTAACATCGGGAATATTTCAATATATGTTCTCCGATTCACAAGAGGAAACCCTGGGTCGAAACCACACCTTGTTTACGTAGTATTCATCTTCAACCTCATCATCTAAATATTGCTTGCATTTGCTTCTTTCTCTTAAATAAAATAACAGTTTTTTTAACTCCTGGATACGTTATTTGATTTCTCAAGCATTGGCTAAATATATAGTAATACATAAAGGATATCAAATTGCTTTTCTATTTCCCAAACATTTTATTTTGATGTTTAAGGTCCTGGATTTTTTGTGATTAAGCGGCGACAAAAGTATGGATGACAGACGTGAACATCATCATCAGTTTCACGTGAGTGATCACAAGTTTTTCGACCCATATTAAGAATGTGAGACTTTACACAAATGTTCTATGCAAATATGGTTAGTAGTAGCCTTTGTTTAATTGGCATTTTAAACTTATGTCAAGAAGTTGTAAATGTCTAATTTGATCTTGAAAAATAGTGTTTAATAAGTGATGTATTTAGCAAAGAATCACACTTCATTATTAATCATTTCTCCGATAGACAAACATCAAAAGAAATATGTAAACTAAACATTTAAAATACCAATAAAGCATTTGTAGTGTAAATCATCGAGTTAATATCATCACTATCATCTGGTCAATATGTTGTGACAAAGATATATAATTTATAATGGGAAGTAACTAAAAATGTATGATTTGTGTGCAACATATATAACGACATCGATAACATTGATTGACATTAATTTACACTATGTATTTATGTTTGCTGTCACTCGAATTTCGTCTTATATTTAATTTCTACAGAGCTAGCCAAAATATGTGCACTTTCATCTTTTATCGCACTTTTTAAAGAGCTATATAGTATAGTATCCTCTTGTGTTTCTGAAGGCAGATTCTGTAAAAACTGGAAATAAGTTCACGGTCCACATCCCGCTCAGTATGATATGGTCCGTTCGTGTTCACAAGATCCGACCATATCGCCTCTATAGGGAGGAAATCCGGAGATGAGTTGCATTATTAGTGTATTCTTTGATTTTACATTTATACTGCGCGATTTAAATTGATAAATATATGACTATTAAACTGAAAAAAGTTGTAGTTGTATTTGAAATCTCAAAAACTTCGAATTTTTTACACAAAAAAAGATGGAACTACTTAACATGTACTTTTGTGATGCATTACGTTATATTTGTTTATCAGTCGCACGCATTAATGCATGTACTTTATAAATTGTACGAAATTAGATATGTATACGGTAATATAAATGAATTATTGCAATTGAAGTGTATTCTGTCGTGAAAAGTCGATGTTCGACCTACTTTCACCTATGAAACCTTGCTATTTTTTCTTGGTTTCTTCATGAATTCATAGGTAATTATATTGCCAAGGTAACCATTCACAAAATATCAAAATTTTTGCTCTGTTTCCTACCTTTTCTTGACATTTTGAAAAATTTTGCCTCTTTGTCTCACGAAGGGATCGTATTCTAGCACACGAACGGACCACAACATACGGAGCGGGATGTGGGCCGTGAAGTTGACGAGTATCAACACAGAGTGAATATCAGTGACGTCATCGATACACTACAGTACATGCGGTCGATGAAATGATGTATAGCCGCTTCGCTTGATATGACTGAAAAACGGCGTGGCTGGAAATCATTTATTTAGAGATATTCTTTTTTAGGCCCCTCTAGGATGAAAGCGCGCACCCAATATAGTAGGGGAATCTTTTCCATTCTAATTTTGGTAAACAGACTACCCCTATTCCTGGATTACGATATGTTTAATGTAATAGAAAGAAGGCCAGGAAGACTTTCCATATGATTTTGACTGAAAATCATGACTTAAAATTATATCGTGAAATTATTAAATCAGTTATGATAAGCATGCTGATCATGATTTAATGCGATTAACGCTGGCTTTACTGATCTTGAACCCGATGTGTTATGAATGTACATTTGTACATATATAGCGTTTCAATTAGTATAACACGATTTTATTGTGTTATTCACACTACAATTGGACTATAAAGCGACAAGCTATGAACACAAGGAGGCGAAACGGATTATGAATAAGTTTTCTAACTAATTAGTAGCTACACGCTCTGCTAAATTAGGATTACAGTGTAAGGCTAAGTAAATCCCATCGCTGGAACTCCCCGTATAAAGTTGGAATCCCGGTGGATTGCCATCACTGGAAGGCTAGGTCTAGACGGGCGAACATGAGGATTCCAAGTTATGCACTGATCGTTGGTACATTAGCGATAGTGATTCAAACAGGTATTTTAAAATTAATTATTTATATATGATGTGATATGATTAATTATTTTAATTATCAATGCAAGGAAAATTGCAATAGCTTCATCAGGGAAATAACAAGTTTTGCTACTTGATCGTCAATATTTTTTATGATTTTAGGAATAAAAAGAGTACTAAAACCATATGAATAAATTGCAAGATTTCACCCAGTACCAAAGAAAGATGACAATAACTAAATCAGAAAGTAACTTTTGGGGTATTTGAGCCCTTTTGTTTCTATGATTACCCATAAGTAGAGTAGGGAGTAGTTGGACGGGAGTAGTGATCGGTAGGGGGAATCGATGAAAAATCGGAATCGGAATCTATGGTTTGGAAACACAATTTTTCCAAGATAAGTGTGTAATATTTTTATACGGTATATGTAATTTTAGGATATTTACTTTTGGGGGACGGGGGACTCTTTAGGGGGACATGGCCCTACCAGGGATCCTGTTACTTCGCCAATTGACCAGGGTTCTACCCACTTCTGTACCTAACAGGAACATTCTTAGGAACAATATCCCCTCTAAGAGGACTATGAACAATCCGTCAAATAATTCATAATATACTGTAGCTTTCTCTTTAGTCTGCGCCACTGACACCTGGATTTTCAGAGTCGATCTAAAACTAAATACTAGATATTGAAGGTATGAAAGATAAAATTAGATGAGAATCAGAAGCAATAGAAACATTTATCGCCTACTTAGTGTGTAAAATGTTGCGATTTTCCATCCGGGAATCAACACTTGATTAATAATTGATATTTATTTTGTAATACAATTAACAAAACACCTAAAACAACCAACAAATCAACATAAGGGTCGGAATCTTGCAGTTTAGATTGATAAAATGTGAGTTGCACTTCACAATGTAGAAACATCAAGGGCGCCAAAGTTGTGCATTTGAACAGACAATGTCTTTAAAATTGATTCTATTTTTAATATATATTTATATTAACCACCAGCCTACAGGGGATGATCAATAAATGATGGATACTACACAAACTTTTCTTATTGAACGACCTCTTGATCTTTACTTCTGGTGCATCATTCCATTATCAAACAACCATGGGTATTTATATGTTAAGATAAACATAATCCTTATTCATATTTCATGGCTTTAGACCAACCCTGTATTCCGCGTCTACTCGTTTTGCATGCACATTTTGGGTAAGTTTGTGAGCCAAATGTTTTCGCATAATTTTTTTGTATGCAGTCGTTTCGTTCTTGGTTTATAAGTATTATTTTTCTAACAAGATGCCAGTTGACGTATATATGTTAAATTTGTCTCATGAGCTTATAACATCCAGCATTGACATCACTGAGTGTATTTGTCTCTTGATCTTCACATCGTCTGTATCTGCACTGCCTTCACACACATCGGATTAATGGCAAAATTACTAGTTTCAAGGTCATGGCGACCCCTTCGCTACTGCCAAATTTGATGGAAATAAAAATGCATGCGGCACACTCGCGGGCCAAAACAATTTTTTATGAAAAAATAAGACAACGAAAAACTTGAAGGATGTGGCGAGTGGACGATACAGACGAAGCTGTGGGTTGCCCGGATGTGAAACTACCTTTAGAGCTTATAACAATAAATTTGATAGTGCAATCTTAGCACTAAAAGGTTACCCGGACGTAAAACTATCTCAAGGGCTTATAGTGCAACCCTAGCACTTAACAATACCGGATACAATATAATGGTTTTCAAATCGAAGACAAGTCTCATCTGGAATTATAACAAACAAATTTACAGTAACCACCTCAATTGATTTTTAAAACGTTTGTTTGAAAACAGTTTTAATTATGATAAATGAATAACTTTAAAAACTGTACAGACTAAATAAGAAAGGCCTTATTATGACCTCGTTTTCACGTCAAATTATGTCAAAATGTCCGGATACTTCCATCAATCAAAAATTAATATTTTAATGAAAATAATGAATGAAAGCGTGAACGATTGCAATGAACCTTGGGTTATAATGACGTGTAAATTGAATTATATCTGGACTCCTCGCTATATAAACTATAGCCAGCGATATCAAAGCGTCCGGTCGCAATGAAAAATGACGCTTACCATCCTAGTACATGTTGTTAGCATTCACTGGCGGATCTGGCGGGGGGGGGGGGGGGCAGGGACCCGCCCCTCCCCTTTGGGTGGGCCCAGAAAAAATGTCCCAAAAGTATATTTATTGGTGAAAATTTTTTAAGGTCCCAATTAGTGGGCCTTTTGGGCATTAATGGGCCTTTAAAGCCTTTTTTTTTTATTTTAGACCCAATTATTAAGAAAATGGACCTTTTTCCAAATTTAGGCCAATTTTATTCGGAAATGCCCCCCCCCCCCCTTGTTGGTTTCCAGATCAGCATTTTACATTTAGATGATAATATATGTATCAATGTATCATTGGCATAGTCCACCTGGTGGGGTTGGTCTCGGAATACCACGGTTCGGGTAACATATTTGCTCATCATGATCATCTTGATAAATCACAGCGTTCTATAGTTGATTTGGCAAGATGTGATGAGTACCAGCATCACTAGTGATCAACTCAATTACGTTTCGGTAACAAAGTGTCGGACCGATTTTAATTTTTTCCTTATTTCCCTCGTTGTAGGCAGAATTACCTAGACATTTTTATCACAATCATTTGACAGTATCGTATGTTAAGAAAATGTTCATGTCGAATCGTCGCTTTAATACCTCAAACGTAAACGGAACGAAATCGTTTTTGTAAACATTTTTTGTTTTTTAGTGCAATTGTTTTTTGTTCCTTTTTACCAACTCTTGAGAATGAAATAAAATGTATTTCCGAACCTTGTTGGAACAAAATAGCAGATAGAACATTTCCTTAGACCTCTCAATATTATAGTTATACTATATATTATAGTGGTACAAAGGAAATTTTGGTTGAGTTAACAAAACTTAAAACAAAACCCCCAAAATAGATAGAAAGTCCATCATATCGATACTACTCCTTTTGAATTTTCAATGACGTATTTCTACTTGCATCTAGTCTATGATGAAACCATATCCCAGTCTTTACATTATTTTAAAGTAATACAGAAACTCAACTAGCTCCCAAGGTTTAGTTCTACTATTTTCAACACAGGGAACAAATTGACTATATTTTACTTCATATTTTGGTAAAAAAAGCTTTGACATTTTAAAACGAATATTTTGTTATTTCATTTTGGTCCTCTTGATGTGTCAACTTATATTTCATTAATTACAATACTAATCATATGTCATTTTCACCTCTGAATGGATGAACTTCTAAGTAAAGTGCATTTTGAATTGAACTGAACGCAAGTGACGTCATCCTAGGAATAACTTGACAGTACCATTCATCTACTATTTTGTACTTACTAGTATCACGCAATATCTTATTCAAGTTATGATGTTATGTTTTGCATCCTTTTCAAAAGCCAATCTCATAATAATAAGGTTTGAAATTACAATGTCTTAAGATGTACAGAAAACGGTGAGAAGATTTAAAAGTATGATAACGTGATAAAATATTTTTGATTTTGTACGTCTTGAATACAGTTTTACTCAATAAATGACGATCATTTATTAATTTATATTATGGTTTTTACTCTTAAAAATGGACATTGAGAAACCCTTTGTCTTGGAGTAAGTCCATCAAAATATACAATTTCCATCAAGTTTCATGAGTGTATCCATCACTAATCTCTGCTCTTATTATTCAACCATATATCAATTAGCATGCAAAGCTTGATTTGGTGAAATTCTCGACGTGAACCAAGTCCAAAAACACACACATCGGATGACTGTAATAACCCGAGGGCGCCCCATGGGAATGACTAACGAGCATAGTGTAACAAGCCAGATAAAGAAATTGAAAAAAGTGTGCTAAATTCAATGCTCCGCGTGGACCCTTGGACCCAAAGTCTGATGCTCTACCGACTGAGCTATAAAGGCTTAAGCCTTGCTATCAAGGGTCGTTACACTACTATTAACATACGGGTAGAGTATTTGGAAAAAAATCAACCTCTTTGTTGGTGAAAATCAATGAGGATTGGCTCTCAGGAGCGCAACTCGATATTCAACCTTGACCTTGGTCGATATCAACAATATCGTTATTTTCTGACATTTTAACGTTGACTATAAATTCCTTTTCAGCGATCCAAAAGATTGAACGTATATGTTGTTCACTTCTTGAATGTTTTGAACTTTTTTGTTGGGAAATAAGACTGAAACACGTAATCCAGGCTCTTAAATGGTGGCTGTTTGATTTCGAAATTTGTAATCACGACATCCTTCAAGATCGGATTCATTGTTGGAAAATATCGGGTCAAGATTGCAGTAAAAAATCCCATTGACGACCATTATAACGTTTCATTTCATAATATATTCATGGGCACAGATCTAGCTCAGCGAAACAGTGCCCAGTGTTCATTGGAGTCTTGTCTAGCTTGCCGTTACAAAATAAGCATACGGTGACCACACCGTTTTTGAGATAACTGAATCTGGAGAGAGCTACCACCGTAAAGCTACCTGTTTCAGAAAATTATTCTGCTCTACATAGTCTCAAAAATCACTCCGCCTGGCGCCATCTATAAAAAGTCTGTTTCTAACCAAAACTTGTAAATGTTTCCTGATAGATTAGTACTTACCCTATCGAAAATAAACCTTGATTCATTTATCAAACACTAGATGGCGCTGCGACGGGACAGAAAAGGAGAAAAGCTTTTTATACAGAAAACCAAATAACCGCTAGTATCCCTACTCCGGACTATATTCATCGAGATTACATTCTGGGAGCCAATACTCCTTGGTGGAAATGATGACAAAAAATCTTACGAATATTCTCCAATGGAAGTTCATCCACGTAAGGCGTGCGATAAGGAGGATTGGCTCCCAGGATCGGAACTCGATACATTCCAACAATGAAAACGTCGAAATTTAGTTATTTTCTGAAATTATTATTGACTATTTCATTTCTTGTGAGTTTTGGA